TTAGTCGTGGGACAATGCAAGACAGACAGACAGACATACAGACATACAGACAGACAGACAGACAGACAGACAGACAGACAGACAGACAGACAGACAGACAGATAGACAGACAGACAGACAGACAGACAAACAGACAGATAGACATACAGACAGACACAAAAGAAGACAGGAAAGAAGTAGGACCTTCCAGTGGCATCTTCCATCCACCTGAACGTTTATTTTGCACCGATAAACGTCGCTAAAAAACCATAAATATAGTGCTCTCTACACCAAAAGATAGTCAATGACGACAATCTTGAAACAATGACTATCAATACGAAGGACAGCAGATATTCCTGTTTGGCATGATATGACATGTGTTTAACACCAATTTCAGCACAGTAAGGTTTCCTGAATAAGAAATGATCGGCAGGACTAAATTGCAGTTCTGGAAAGTCTCATAAACTCCTTCAATTTTTCAAAAGTTCCTCATCGAGGAATCGAACCGAGATCGTTGAAACAGCAGTCCAGAATGATTCAAGAAAAAATGGGCTAACCATGATCTCTGTCCCCTTCTTTACTTTACTCTTTTTATTCTTCTCGATTGCATCACTTTTGAAGTCTTGTATCATACTTTATTGATTCATACTGACATACGAAACACACGTAATTTACTGACGCTCATATGACCTTATGCAGTTGCGAGCGCCGTAAAACCTCTACAAAACTAAAAAACTAAATGTAATTTACTACCTAAGCACCACCTGTCACCCTTCCCACTTCTGCTCTCATCCTTTTTCCCCATGTCTCAATTGTCAACGAGAGCAATTCTTTTCCTTAGTACAGTTCAGCGGAAAGGCAGCACTTGACAGCTGTTACACATTCATCCAAATACACTTGACCGCCGGAACGCCGTAACGATTTGTTTATCATGGACGTGTAGACCGGGCGTCGAAGACTTTGAAAAGGACGTTAAAGTTTCCTAAAATTTGAACAGAGATGTAATTGTATGCCGTTTTAGTATTTCATCGTGCACTCCTTACCTAGTTAAACACTCAGTACGGACAGTAGAATACGACCCTGAAAAGGAATAATTTTTCGAACAAAACACCTGTGAACAAAAAATTAACATTTTGACAGAAAACAGCAGGATGGGTGTGAAGGGGAATTTGAATGTGAATCTGGGAAAAAAAGAGGGCAAGGGGAAATATTTCAATGCTATTCTGGAAAGAGAGAGGTGGGCCAAGGGGAATGTTTAATGTGATTCTAGAGGACAAGGAGAAGCCTTAATGTGATGTTAGAGGACAAGGGGAAATGTTAATGTGATTCCGGGTGTTGTTTGGATTGTGAGGCTGTCTGTGGAGATGCGTTCACAAGTGTCTGTAATTAAAACCACTGTCTACAGGAGCGCAAAGTTTGAAATGTAAAAGGTATCGTCTACCGCACCCGTCCAGCCCTCCCCCCTTCCTTCCTTCTCTGTCTGTCAGAGATCTATCTATCTATCTATC